TCCATCCTCTGACATAAGCCCCTCAATTTTGGAACATAAGCATGTGCTCAGTCACAGCTGTTTTTGGCCTTGCTATGTAAACTTGCTGACTCAAGGAGTTTCCCAAGGTGCTGGGCTCTGCCACCTGGCAACGGGTGCTACCTACTCCCAATAGCCGGGGTCTCTGAGTGGTACTGAAGTCGTAGCTAAAAAGCTGGTGCTTGGAACCCACGTAAAGGTACCTCCCAAGATAGGCCTACATCTGCCTTGGCCCAAGCCCTGAAAAGTCAATGGGGCACAGTTCTTTCTATTCTGGAACCAGGAGGTCACCATGATCCAGAATCAACTAACAATAAACAACAGCTCCCAGCATCCACATTCTAAGAGAGCAGTCTCTCTACGGAATAGCAAATGTTGGTGCAACCATGCACGGTCTAGAGCTCATACACATGAGAGATAGAATCCCTTGGATCAGCAAATCTCTGTGTTGTAAGTACGTGCAATTACAGTTATTGTTCCATGATTTTAGCCTTTATTAGTATATTAGCTGAAGTACTTCGTTTTTGAAGAGGCTTTTAGATTTGGCAGTAATCGAAAAGCTAGTTAAGCTGATAAGGAGAGAGCCTTTGGCAGATGTTTCGAGAGACTCACAGTGGTTCTAATAAGGGTGTTGAGAGGAACTCGCAGTCAAATGCACTCTGGAGAGACCTCCTCTCATTAGCCCTTGGCAAATGCAAACTGGACAAGGATTCACTCTCTCCACTAAATTTCTTGCTAACTACCTTCATTCCTCTGAGTTAATGAGTTGATTTGACAGGTTCCAATTGCCAAAACAACCCCTCCATGCAGAGCCATCTTGGGCTTCCTTGCCAGCCCACGTTTTTCTCCCAATTTGGCCCAGTTTCTAGGGCCCCCCATGCTGGCAAATGCATCGTAGGTAAGAAGCATTGGTTGTGATTGGTCATTCCTGGGTATCCAAAGCCTCCTTAAGAAAGGAAAAAGAACTCAATCTAGGCTTGTGCCACAAAGGAGGAGGCCTGTGGACACAGTGGTGGCATGCCTTGGGCAGCTAACCACAAAGCCAGTGGTTTGAATCCAGCAGCCGCTCTGTGGGAGTAAGATGAAACTTTCTACTCTAGTCGAGATTGACAGTCGCAGAAACCCACAAGGGCAATTTTACTCAGTTCTACACATAAGGTGGCTTTGGGTCCACACTGAGTCCATATGTGTGAGTTTTGTTGTTGTACTATGTTGGCTTGGTTTGGTTCAGTTCGGTTCAGTTTGTTTGGGTTGGCTTGGTTTGGTGCCAAAAGGAACCAGACGTAAGAAAGAATAATGAGATGGGAAGTGTTAGAAGGGACTCCTGGAAAATTGTGAACACTTGGATAGCTGTTGAAATCAAAATGTAAAATCTTGTCTTGCATGGAGGAAAGAGAGTGGTATAGCCTTTGAAAGTGACACTATTTTTTGTGTTTCACGGAACAGAGTATGAGAGGGCTTCAAAAAGTTCATGGAACATTGGAATAAGGAGAAAATGGAAGTTCCTTATGAACTTTTTGAAAGCCTCTTGTATGTCCTCTGGTGTGATGGCTAAGAAGAATGTGTCTTAACCTCGGATGAGAAGTTCATGGGTAACCAGCTGTAGATGGCACTTGGTGGTGGTATCGGAGTCTACAACAGTGTGTTTCAAGGTCAGTTAGTCCTTCACCACCTTGGACAGATCACCTTGACTTGACACAACACAAAACTCTAACTAAAGGAGCTCTTGTGGTGCTTCGGATAAAAATTGGACTTTAATCACAGGCCAGCTGTTCAAACCCATCAGCCTCTCTAAGGGACCAAGATGACTATGTCTGCTCCTATAAAGATTTACAGCCTCAGAACCCCCAAATAGAGTCACCATGAGTCAGAATCAACCCCATGACAGTAGGTTTTTTTTTCTGTTGTAATCCCTAATGAACATCCAAGTTCCCCAATCTCTCCTGTACAAAGAGAGGGCGAAGGGTAAGGAATTGACATTTGTTGACTTTCCAAATATTCAACGTCCTAAATTAGATGTTAAAATATATTTTGAGAACTCTATGACTCAGTAAGGGAGATGGATGTATTATCCAATGTTTCCACAATGCAAAAGATTACTTTACTAGAGGTTCACTCAAGGAGTTATTGAACACCTATTTTTTAAATGACATAAGTCTACCTAAGGACCTCAAATTATAAGAGCATTAAAAGACATCTCCCTCCACCAATTTTATGGATGGATAAACTGAAGCTCAGATAGTTTAAGTCACTTGAACAAAGTTGAATAGCCACCAACAGGGAAGTTTTCTGGCTGTAAATCCACATTCCTCCAAAGACTTGCTGTGATTCCCACAGGAGACCATGACGATTAGGCAAGATGGACCAGACCCATGTTTCTCAAACATCAGCCAACTTCAAACCACCGAAAGTGTTATGAAGCATCAAGAAAAAGAATGCAGTAGCAACATAAACCAATTATGATCTTAAGCAATGAGATTTTGGTGATCTACCCTATACTTTCCCATAATGAGGCTTGGAATAGAGACAGCTGATTCCCTCGGTGGCGAACTGGTTAAGCACTCAGACATTAACAGAAAGGTTGACAGGTCACACTTACCCAGAAGCCCTTGGAGCCATGCTGAGTGGTTGTTCTGGTTATCTGTGTCAAAAACGTCACAGCCATGAAAACCCTCTGGGCGCTTCTATGCTGTCCACATAGAGGTTCCATGAACTAGGAATGACAGGTTTGGTTCACTGTCAGTACAGGAGCATAAAATGTTCAGTCAATTTCCACTTAACATTGTGTCCCAAGCTTAGATGGAAGACCCAAGCCACTTTGGGAAGGTTGGCTTGGAGGATCTGAACAGGATCCTACCATCCCTGAAATGTCAGATCTTATTCCCCCCACTCACCCCCTCAGATTCTTGTCTCAAAGAACCCAGTATTGAGGAATTTAAAAGATTTTGCCCATTTGGAATCAGCTCAAATTTGGCTCAATGTAAGGTGACGGAGGAAGGAAGCTTTGGGGACTTGACATAGCTTAGCCAATGTTCTTTTCCAATTCTAGTCTTACTTCAAGTACAACTCCAAAGCTCTTTGCAGCTATAGCAGAAAATATTCCCCAGTGTTTCATCAGTGATTTATGCAATAGCTTTTATTTCAGCCAGCCTCTTCAAATTGTTTTTCTCCTCTAATAAATATCAGCTAATTAGTAAAGAACCCATATGAACAAACTAGCAACTGAATCAAATGAATAGTCATTAAGATTAACACATCATTTTCATTAATTTGCCACTGTTGAATGGAATTCAGTGTTGTAGAAAGATTTCTTGTGGTGCACAGCATCCTCTCTCAAGTTTAGATCTTTATGAAATGTTTCATGAACGGAAAGGTCTAATTGTGAGAGAGGATGGTGGAGGGAGGGAAGGCGTGTGGGGGGGGGGTTAGGGAACAAACCTGGTTGTCTGGCTTTGAGGACTTCGGAAACCGGAGAAGACTGGCCTGGACACATTGCTGCCTTTGTCCTTTTATTAAAATGACCCCACTTCTTAGATAGAAGATGAACAAAGCCACCCAGGCCACCTTGGTTGATCTTTTATGGGCCGATTCATCTCTTTGATGGTGCTCACACCTCTGAATTTTACAGACCAGTAAACATTTTTTAAATGAAATAGGGTGGAGCTCAAGGTCATTGCAGCAACTTTAACAGAAGTTGATTTTCATTTCTGATGTGATGAGAATTTACACAGCCACATCAGCAGTTTCTGCATGTACCATTCAGTGCGGTGGATGGCGTTCTTTAAGTGGTACACAAGTTCCTCACCTTCCTTTGCGACATTGTTCCACCTCAATAACGTAAACTCTCTGCTCTCTCTGTTTCCTATTTAATCTCTCAAGTTGCTATTGCCAATTTGACCCCTTCTAGGTCCCTCTTTAAAGAAGAGCCTGATGCTCAAGGCAGACATTCTCTGCGAAGGAAGCTAACCTATGGTTTGATTTTAAGAAGACCTCAGGGAATATTTTTGGTTACATCCTATTTCTTCTTCCCTCTCTTTCCTTTTCTCTTGGCCCAGCCAAGTGGAGTGCCTTTTATTTTTCCAAATAAGAATGCTAAAAAACAAACAAACATACACCAACCATCTATCAACCTTAAATTTTCATCTTTAGAAAAGATATTTTAATCCCCCAAAGAAGGAAAAGAATCATCTCACATAAAAAATTCTAGAATAGCTATTTAAGTGGTAGTCATACAGCTGCATGGGAAAACAAACAAACAGAAACTCATTACTCTTTCCTTACTTTCTCTGAACATTGTAAACGTTATCATGTATTGATACTGACATTTGGAAATGCCAGGCCCAGACCCTGTGCTCGATCTTTCACCAGACATTAGTGAAAGGCTTGACGTCTGACTGCTTCAGTCTTCCCAGTCTGTTTCAGAAGGAAACAATCTAACCCACTGTGAAAGGAAAGTGGAAACTGACTCCTAGTTGACCACTGGTGTGACTGTGCAAAAGGCTGCACATATTATCTCACTAAATGTCACAAGCACAAGCACCTTCAAAATAAATCACCATGTCTTCATTTTGCTCTGGGAGAACCTGGGTATGAAGATGTCCACGGTCCCAGCACACTGAGTGAGTGGCAGAAAGAGTTGAACCCCAAACTCCATACCCTTTCAATCCTACTGTGCTGCCAGCTTAGGAGCAAGACTCAGAGAAGATTAGAAAGGCTAAGGGGAGGGGAGGGAGGGGAAAGCCTCTGTCAGGTTGCACATCCCCTGTAGCCAAAGTGATGTCATCATGGACCCATAGCTCCTGTGGAGAGGCCCAATAAAGCTACCCAGTTACTCCTCCCTTGGTAGACACCTGAAGCACTGAGTCTGCGGATTTGGGAAGGTTTCTGGGCCGCTGTTTTCTTGTGTACTGGCTCTGTGCTGTCAGGGTATCTACTATTTCCATTAGAGGCACTTAATTGCAGGTGAATGCTTTGTTTTGCAGGTGTGAGACTGCTCAGGGACGAGAGACCCAACGTGATCATGGAAGATGATGAAAAGGACAGTGACAAGATAACTATTTAAAGATTTCCCTGGAGGTCACTTGTAAATAGGTTACATCGGTTCCCTATGGTGACCTAGAAAGAAAAAAGAAAAAAAATAGACCTGTGTCTGCCCTCATTTTGTCAGCGTCGGCCTTTAAATCCAGACACCGTTCCCCCATGAGACGCCCTGGGTCTGGTCGCCAGTTGCCTTTCTCCTGTCTTCTTCCTTGTCTCTGGCTTCTCTTCGGTACCATTCCCACACCGGTGGATCTTCAATGCAGCAGAAAGGAGTGGATCATCCTAAATGAGGAGGTGACGGAGCTAGATCAGGTGTTCAGAGTCCGTGTCCTCTGAACAAGAACCCAAATAAGACGGGGTTCTCTGTTTGGTAGCTCCCACAGCAGCTGGACAAGAGCTGGTTTCACAGTACCCCAACACCAGCCACGTGGGATCTCCTGATGACAGTTAGGAACAGCCCAAATCAATGATGTCATTAGAGAACCAGGTCTCATATTTCCTTTCCTTTCTTTCCAGCAACACTTCCAGGGTCTCTGGTGACATTCCTGATTCCGTCTCATAGATACTCTGTCAGGTATCTCTTACATAGGTGGAGTTCACAACCCATCCAACCACGCCTTCAATAGAAAACCAGAAGCAGAGAGTATTGGTGTGTCTGATGAGCTTAGCAATACGCCTTAATATGTACTTTCAATTTTTAAGGGCAAAAGTGCTTAACCAGGTGGTGCCAACCATTGTGAATCATGACAGGAATGATCCAGGGATAGTAACTGGTCAAATAAACGTTTGCAATTGATTTACTTTTTGAAGAATCAAGTCAGGACAATTGAAGGCCTTTTTTTTTAAAAAAAAGCACATTTTGAATCTTAATATACTTTAGCAAGGGCAGGGAGTAAACACCTGGCTTTAGCTAGTAAGCAGAGGTGTGTACATAATCCCTGTCTCAGACGGCAGTCTGTGAGTGCCGCCCATGGGTTTCCTCCATCAGCTGACAGACATGGAGTGAAATTGTTAACAGGAAGAAGGGTAGCTATTCAAACAGATCGCTCCTGAAAATGATCATCTGGAAGCTACCACGCATATACCCCAGCTCCAACTGCGTGCTAATCCCTCCTTCCTGCCCACCTGCCTCACCAAGTTAGGATGAAACAAAACTCAGCTGGCAGTAAAGATGCTTCTATACAAATCGCCATGTTGTGGTGCATTCCCCCAAGTATGCCTACTTAGTCACAATAAAAAGAGTCCAGTTACACAGAGAGACTAATGAGACTTTTGTTTTTCCCCACAAAGATTTTAAAGTGTCTGTATTAGCTGTTACTATCAAACAGTGATCAAACATAAATAAATGCATATTCACTTAACACAAAAACAAACACACTCGGTACCATACCGTTGAGTCAATCTTGACTCATAACAATCCTTTAGGACAGGGTAGAAATGCTCCTGTAGATTTCCAAGATTATAACTCTTCATGGGAGTGGGAAACCCAACCTTTCTCCCAAGGAGTGGCTGGTGATTTTGAACTGCTGACCTTGTAGTTAGCAGCCCAACACATGAGCCACTACAAAACCAAACCAAGGCTCCTTTCACTTAACTAGGATTTAAATAAAATGCAATTTTCAGACCTCAGACAATCACCCCAAGACCTGGAAACCCTGGGTCACCACTCGCTGGGTGTCCTTTGGGGAGGAACATGTAAACTCTGGTTGACTAGAATCCCCCTGCCTCCTCCACCACCACCCCGCCAACAAAATCCCAGGCTCTTCCACTCGACCACATTTCCCTGTCCCTGTATCCTCCTGAAGACATTTGAGTTGGAGTCCGTAGTCGAGACCTACCTTATAGGTCCCTAAAGATCCTTCACCTCTGGTTTTAGTCTTCCCCTCCCACTTCTGATGGCCCCAGTTACAGCTCCGTGTGGATGTAAGTCAGATTGTGACCAGGCGTCTAGTTGAGGCATAATGAGGAAACAGCCACTAGAAAGTGTTCAAGAAACAAAAACCAATTCCAAGTACATGGGCAACAGAATTAGATCACTACCAGTCATAATTGCTACCCAGGGCTCATCACTCAGAAACTCCACGTGTTCCCTGGACCCATCAGGCTTGCTGACAAAGGACTCCCAGTCAGGCCAGGACAATGTGCTTTGTAAATGCCGGGGTTCTGGGGGAAATGCACACAGTTGCTAAGCTGTGTGAACAGCCCCTGTGGAAAATCCATTTTAATCTGGATTTTATCCGAAACTTTGATTTTAATCTATACTCTGAGCAAGGCCCTCAAATACTCTGATCTTGTTTATTTAGCCTTTAAGATGAGGATACTATTTTGCCCTCACTACAATTTAAGAATCAAGTGAGACCATGTGCGGCAGAGGATGCTGTTCCCTAAAAGCCATACTCAACTGCAGCACAGGTTAGCTTTACGAGAATGCATCTTTTCCATCGAGGAGTCTCCATTTTCTGGCTTGGGCAGCGACAACGAGGAAGGTCCTTAGGGAGGTGGGTGGACACCGTGGCTGCACCAATGGGCTCAGGCTTGGGAACGATTGTGAGGATGTCAGAGGGCCAGGCACCGTTTCGTTCTGTTGTACAGAGGGTCGCTATGGATGGGAACCGGCTCAGTGGCAGCTAACATTCCTGATCATAGCGTCAAAGTCCATGAGGCCAAGTGTCAGCAGCTCACTTCAAAGATGAGTCCTGACTTCTCCCAAGGCAGACTTGTCCATTCTTCTAGCAGTCCATGGTATAGTCAATATTCTTCACCAACACTCAAATTTAAATGCGTCCATTTTTCTTTGGTCTCTCTAGTTATTGTCTAGATCTTACCCACATAAAAAGCAAAGCCCATTCACTGCTCTGCATCGATTTTTGACTCAGAACAGAGTAGAACTGACCCTTGGGGTTTCTGACACTGTCAATCTTAACAGGCGCAGAGAGCCTTCTCTTTCTCTGGTGGAACCACTTGGTTTTGGATTGCTGACCTGGTGGTGAGTGGCCAGCATGTGACCCATTAGCCCAGCAGGGCTCCTTTGGCATGCGTATGAAGTGATTGAGGAAAGTGATTGTGTATGCGGTGATTGGCATGTGTATGAAGTGATTGAGGAAAGTGATTGACATGTGTATGAAGTGATTGAGGAAAACTATAGGCCAGGCCTCACCTCAGTCCTCAAAGTGACATCTGTGCTTTGTCACACTTTTGAGAAGTCTTCTGCAGCAGATTTGCCCAGTGCACCATGTTGCCTAATGTCATGACTGTTTCCAGGAGCATGGATTGTTGAGAAGCCCTCAGTAATGTCAGTCTTTTATTCCATTTTCTATGATGTTGCTCATTGGTTCAGTTGTGAGGGCTTGGTTCATTTTTTTATGTTCAAATTTATTCCATATGGAAGGCTGTGTCCTCCAATCTTCATCAGTTAAGTACTTCAAGACCTCTACACTTTCAGTAAACCAGGTGTGCTAGGCCGGGTTGACTAGAGAAACAAATCCAGAGACACTCATGTATATAGAAGAAAGTGCTTCATATCAGGGAGTCATCGTGCATCAATAAACATCCCGGCCCAGTTCAACTCAAGTCCACAAGTCTGATCCTAGTCCATCAGTCCCTCTTCAGACTCACGCAGCCACGTGCAATGATGCAGATGCCGGAAGAGCACAGGCTGGTGTGGATCCAATGAGAGTGGGCGCATTACTGAGCTCACAAGTCTTGGCACGGCTCCTCAAAAGGAAGGGGAAGGCAGAAGGAAAGAGAGGAGGAGTCAGCCCCCAGAGAGCCACTTGCTCGCCCCTCCAAAAGAGGTCCTCAAGCTGCGACCTGATTGACAGGCTAACCTCCACCCAAGTCTTCTTACAGGTGCCATGTTGGCACAAAGAAACTAACTATCACACAAGGTTTCATCATCTGCATATGAAAGGCTAGTGATGGGACTTCCTCTCACCCATGCGATGCCTGGCTCTTCTTCATAGAGGGCAGCTTCTCAGCACAGAGATTGAGTAGGTATGGCTCAAGGATACAACCCGGACTCGTTCCTGATTCTAAACTGTGCAATACCTCAGTTGCGGGCAAAAAAATCTGGCCTCAATTCAGTCAGCATTCTTCTCGGACAGCCACACTCCTCTGACAGAGGAGGCTGAATGCTAACCGGGCTTCAGTGGAGCTTACAGATTCAAGTGGACTAGCAATACATGTGGTGGTCTACTTCCACAAAGTGGCCAGTGCAATCCCTGTGGGTCACCTCGGTGCACCTGAGTTGGTGTGGGTCTGGCGATGTTTCCTTCTGGTGCGTATGGGTGGCTGAAAGTCCTGGTCCAACTGAACAGAAGCTAACAAGAACGATTAGGTTTAGCATCCAATTAAAATAGGACATAGTTAATGACCAAGAATTTCTGCCCAAATAGCAGTCATGCTAAAAAATACCAGCCTCTTTGGCAAAAGGGTGTCCCAACAGAAGAAACACACCAGGCGATTGTAGTTTGAAGGCATTTACCTCCACCAGGCTGTCTGAGAGGAGGTGTTATTAAATGTGAGAGACTCAACTCTTTCAAAAGCCCCACAGAGAACTGGAGCCTTAGCTCCAGAGAGGGTTTACCCTTGGCTACGCTGTTAGCTGAGATTGCGGACCAACTTCTGACAGCTAATTGTCACTGGGAGAGGCAGGAACCGGTGCTTCTGGGTAGGACTGGACCCGTCAAGGCCTCAAGCAGGGCTTTCCTCTTAAATGCAATGAATGAAATTTCCCCCACGGTCTGTGTGGTCCGGGTTGCTTTGTGTCTAAACGAGGATAGAAAAAGATACTGTGTGGTTCCGAAAATAAATTA